CACGGTCAGTCTGACCCATTGAATGGCCTGAATACGATAAATGCCGCTTTATCCTGCCTTGAAAGGCACGAGATAGCGCAGTCTAAATGCCTGGGCATGCTTAAATAGGCGACCAGGGATGTTTGAGTTGAGCATGTTTGAAATCTGAGCTCTCTGACAGCCTGGGAGCTGTCACAGGTCACCTGCCTTGCTCCGCTGGGACGGACCCAGGTCTCACAAGAAATTGTCCATAGACGAATTGTAGTACAAATTCCTTTCTTTGTTGGTTGGCCTCTTTCACTAGACCATGGCCTATAAAATTTTGTAAAAACAATTCTTAAATATTATTTGAAAGGGCAAATGGCCCACGCTGAAAGGTTTGACAGTTTGACATATAGCGCATGGTTTCGAGAGCTCGCAACCTGAAAAGTGTGGCCAGGATTCTCCCCCTGCTTGTTAGAAGCCTGGTGTTTTTTGAACAGTGTTTTGTGGCTGCCCAGAGTTCCTCTGCTCCCAGCCATCTGACAGGCCAGGAGTCTGCTTCAGTGATCTGAAATCCTTTTAGACTCATTTGTGAGAGAGCAGAAAAATAGCTGGCACCTTTGAATCCAGTGTCCCAAGAGCACAGAAACAGGTAGTGCCAATTAAGGAGCCATTTGGACGATCAGATCAAAGCAGATCACCTTAGAGTCTTCTGATAGCGCCGGAGCCAGTGCCCAGAGAGAGAAGGGAGCCCGGAGTGGCACTTCAGTGAGGGGACCAGGGGGAATTTGAGTGGCTCAGTCTCATCAGAGCCAGGGAAGTCGCAGGAAAGTAGCTTTCTGCATTAGAATGTGGCCCGTGTGCGGCTCAGCGCCCGTTGGCTGCCTCTGCATAGCCAAAGGCCATTTTCAGGAGCCTCTGGCCCCTCAGTCACTGGCCTGCTAGTTAATTGCCACACGGACTTCATGACACATGGGCAGATAATATGACATTTTCGGTTTCTGTCACTAGCAAACGCCGCACCGTTGCTTGCACTAGTTGCTAAGAAGCTGTCAGAACGCATTAGCAATTGGCTAAAGTCGCCCTATGGCATTTCCTCATAGCATCAGCAAAACGAGCATAAATCACCCACTGGAGCCTACTGCTATCCTAATGAGGCTGTAAGCTTGTTTATGGACTAGCATCATTTTTATGATTATTTCCACCTTTTCAGTTTGCCTTCATTTGGTGGCAGGAGAAGTCAGCTCCAGGAATGAAGTCACTGCTGACATTTTACAAATGTGGCTCAGAGCTGCTGCCTGCTGCCGTGTGGTCAGCCGGCGGTCCTCCAAGTTTGTTTAGTGATCTTAAAAATAAAAAGGAAATAAATCCTCTAGAGACCGCAGAGAGGTGACTGTATCACATTGCAGAGTGGATGGAAATGTGCAAGGTACAATTGGCCATTGAGACTTTCCTCTGAGGTGGAGACGTTTCGAGATCAATTTTCCATTTTAGGAAGTGGAAGAGGTTAAACAATTTATGAAAATCTATGAAAAGTGTTTGCTTTGAGAATCGTCTGTTTTGTTATGCTCTCTTCCGTCCCCATCCTCTCCATTTCCCTAACTTGTGTCGGGAAGGAGCAGGGTTTATTGTTTTAGGCTTTTCTGAACATGCACCAGTATTTACACTGGATTGAAAGCATTTGCTTCCAATGAAAATCTTGTCTTAGATTACAACCCAGCAGTGTAATTTCCCTCCCAGATGGGAGTAAAGTAGCTGTATTTGCCTAAAAACAGTAGGAAGAACAAACTGAGCATTAAGCCAAGGCTGTTTTTGGCTTGAGTTAATGATGTAATAGAAACCTTTTATTCGGGAGAGGTCACTGCCAGGGACTGATGGGGGGTGATCTGGCTCTTGCTTGAAAGGTTTCTCCATTGTATCTACATAAGTCTTCACTTAAACAATTCTGTTCCTAATGCTTCTGCTTTCATATGGCAGAAATAAACAGGAAAGGTTCTGGTGAGTGTTACACGTGGAATGCAGAAAGCCTTCCTCTCTTAATGCAGTATATAATTCAGGTGCCCTCAAGGCACGCTTTCGGGAATTCTTTTGCCTGAGGTAATGGGAAGCTAAGGCTGCTTTAAGGCCTTGATTATCTATTGATGCACAAAGCTGGAAAAAAGTCATCTCCGTTGGATTATAGTAGATATTTCCATAAATTATCAATGAATTCTCTTCAAGGCAGGCACGAGGCATTGCCTGCTAAATTAATCTGAAGGGGTTTTGAGATGGAGAGAAAGGCTATTTTTTTGTTTTTTTTTTTAAGATTGAAAACAATCATGGGCGAGGTGGTGAAAAACTGTGTCCTTAGGTCAGAAGCTTTTTAATCAGTGATCAAGTAATATGTTTCTTTTCCTTGGTTACCTCTTGCATATTAAAAGTGGATTAGCCCACTGAAAATTTAAATGCTTTTGAGTTTGTTTTTTTTCTCATGTTTTTTTAATGAATTGTTATTTTATATGGTGAATTGCTTCTCTGAATAAAAAGCCTCTTTAAATATTGGACTTCCTAAGAATTTATTAGGCAAATCCAAGGAGACTCCTTATAAAACACTTGGGTAGGTCTTCCCTGGTGGTGCGGTGGTCGAGAGTCCGCCTGCCGATGCAGGGCACACGGGTTCGTGCCCCGGTCCGGGAAGATCCCACATGCCGCGGAGCAGCTAGGCCCGTGAGCCATGGCCGCTGAGCCTGCGCGTCCAGAGCCTGTGCTCCGCAAAGGGAGAGGCCACAACAGTGAGAGGGCCGCGTACCGCAAAAAAACCCCAAGAAAACAAACAAAAAAAAACACTTGGGTATGCAAATCAAAGGTGCGGTGCGGTGGAAGGAGCCCTGGTTTAGGGACGTGGGTGTCTCGTCCTGCCTGGACCACCCCCCTTGAGCAAATCATCCAGCAGGATCACAAGTACTTTCTTCACTGATACAGTGAGGGCTTGGGAATTGTGGGTCTTTATGATCTTTTTCACTGAGAACACAGCTACGATTCCATGGACCTTTTACAGAATATACGATTTTTGTCAACAAAACGTCGAATACAATGAAATTATGAATTTTAATTTGATAAAAATTCAACAGAAAAGTTCTGCAAAAGTTTTGTGTTTGTGGCATATGCTGTCATCCTAGCAGAAATGTCGAAATCAGTCTGTCTCTCACCCAACAAAGTTTTTAAACTTCAACTCAGTACAAGTCAAGGTAATTCCGGGGGCAGTTTTCTTTTGCGGGGAGGGGTGGCGGGGGGAGTTTCCTGAGGGAACTCTGCTAAGAACAACTGATTAATGACAACCTAACTACTTTAGATTCGACTGAAATAACTGAAATCAAAATAGAGAATTCTTCAATATCCTGTGATAAACCATAATAGAAAAGAATATGAAAAATAATATACATATGTACATATATAACTGAGTCACTTTGTTGTACAGCAGAAATTAACACAACATTGTAAATCAACTATCAATAATTTTTTTTTTTTTTTTGCGGTACGCGGGCCTCTCACTGTTGTGGCCTCTCCCGTTGCGGAGCACAGGCTCCGGACGCGCAGGCTCAGCGGCCGTGGCTCACGGGCCCAGCCGCTCCGCGGCATGTGGGATCTTCCCGGACCGGGGCACGAACCCGTGTTCCCTGCATCGGCAGGCGGACTCTCGACCACTGCGCCACCAGGGAAGCCCTCAATAAAATTTTTTTAAAAATAGAGAATTCTTTTTGTGTGTAGGATATTTAGATAAAAGAAGCAAGGAATACAGAAATTCATGACGCGATCCAAAGGAATCTGAGGCTAGTTCCCATGTGCAGTCTTACCAGAGTTCTTTAGGCCATGTGCACAGGTCTCCCAGTAAACCCAGGGAGTGTGCAAGTTCATTGTTAAGCCTCGCCACTCTAACTCTTCTTTCTGGGCCCAGATCAACCTGTCCCTTTTTAAAAGCCAGTAGTTTCCACTGAGAGAGCTGGGGTACCAGTTTGACAAAAGCTAAGCTACTTTTTAGGGTAGTATGTTTAGTCCACTGTTGTTTTCCCTTTTAACATTTGTGCCTAAACGCCAAGTGTTTACTTTCCATTTGTACCTTATGACTTGTTTTGGACAGTGTGATTATATGAACTGAAATTTCACTTTTTTTTTTCTTATTCAATATGCCATTTTAAAAGGAATACTACGTTCTTTATCTTATTGTGTCACAGAGCCAAAAAATTATCTAGAAGAAACAACTTAAATGTTATAACAAAAATCAATGGAAAAGTAGTATCCAGTGTATAGGAATGTGTAAGCAGGTGACTTTTTGGTGAGAAAAATTTAAATCTAGAAGAAATTTTTCAGAAACTGCCTGGATTATTAGGGGAATACAATCCCAACTGACTGTTCATTTAACATCTCTTTATTTGATTTAAATAGTCATTGTTTTCTAATTAAAAATTGATTTCAAGAGTTTTTCCCTTACTAAACTTTATGCTCTCTTTCTGTGACAAGAAAAATTATATTCTATTTGAAGCATTCGTATGTCAGACTGCTTATATGATGGATTACCTACATTTCCATGGCCTACTTTAGTCTTAAGATAGATCACTTATGGAAATAGTTGATGTCTTAAATGCATCTTCTCACAAGTTGACATCAATGACTTTATGTGGGATTTGAATACCCAGGCATGGACAGCACCTCTGCTCATGGTTTCCACCATATTAAACTCCCCAGTAGGAGTTACACTTAACATGTCTCCACTATCCACATCTGAATAATTACCATGGCAACAAAGCTACTAAAGAGATTGGATACTCCCCTCCATTCCCTTTGACATTTTCCAATGTTCTTTGGAAGAAGTTCCTTAGACCTGACTACTTTTGAGCCTAGACCTTGCTCTTTCTCTTAAAAAAGAAAGAAAGAAAAGAGTACCAAATAAACTATTAATCATTGATATTGCTCTTTCGGTTTTGTTTATATCCAAAGGCATTCTATTTGAATAAAGCATGTTAAGGTAGCATCAGTCAAAATTTGATTCACTATGTTTGCAGGTGATGGCTTGGACAACAGTGTAGCTTCCCCCAGCACAGGTGACGATGATGATCCAGATAAGGACAAAAAGCGTCACAAAAAGCGTGGCATCTTTCCCAAAGTAGCCACAAATATCATGAGGGCGTGGCTGTTCCAGCATCTAACAGTAAGTGGATTCTAAATGACATATGTAAACTAAATATGGACAATGAACCAGTTTTGATAGAAAAAAGGGGGGAAGAATGATCCCTCTGGACTTGGAATATTTCATAAATCACTGTGTGCCCACAGTTCTTACAGAGGTGTTAGCACTTGTTTCCTAGATCCATACCCCAAATTAGGAGTTTTATTTGAAGTTTGCTATTGCGATTTTGCTCACTCTTGTAAGTTATAAGATTTAGGAGTTCATGTCCACTTGTGACTTTAAGTATGTATGTTAATGATGATGTTTTTCTCAGTGTGACTCTTCAAGTACCTAGGACCAGGTCCCACTAAGAGCAAAGTCAGACAAACCCCAGAGAGAAGGACTTAATTTCTTCCAATGCTTTAGTGGACCTTTATGGCGAATGGTCTGCAAAAATGTAAATCTTGTTGCAATGGCAGGTTGCTCACATAATTTGCTCTTAAGTGGTTTGAATGTACTGGCTGCCATTACAAAACGTTCATCTGAGTCAGAGCTGCACAGTGAAAGTTGTCCCTGTATTTAGAACTGTAAAGGAAAACAGCAATATAGAGTCAGCTCTTCCTGTGTAGTCCCTTGTGACTTTTCAAGCCGAGTAACAGTTTATATTGTCTGTGTGAGTATTGCTGTTTTCACTGCAGGAATTCTCCTGGAGATGTGAGAAACTGGAGATTTGGGGCTTTATGCCACCGAGGGATTTGTTTTGTTTGGTTATTGTTCTGAATGGATTTCATGTTCAAAATATTTATAATCATAATATTTTGGTGGATATTTTTGGAAGTGCATATTGATTTAATGACATCATAGGAAGAAGGTGAAATGAAGATTTATGGGTAAAATAATATATTAAAAATCAACAAAATTGTTGGCCAGGGGTACTTTCAATATTAGGGACAAAGGACAAATTTAGACAGGTCGTAGCATAGACTAGCCTAAAATGAATGAATGTTAAAAATCTTGTTTTTGTAAAGAAATGTTAGGAGCAAACCTTTGATATTACTATTTTTAGCATAGTTTGCTTTTCTTAAAGTCATTTGATCTCCTTCAGTATCAAAGTTAATTCTGCATTGTCACTAATGTGTCCAGACCTGTTGACCCTCACATCCTCACCCACTTTCAAAGCCATGTTCCTCAGTGACTTATATTGATACAGGGAGACAAACAGAGGATGTGGGAGACCAAGCTGGTTCAGCTCCTCTGGACAGAGGCTGTGCCTCCAATAATACTTGAGGCTATAAATTAATCCAGATTTTCCAGCATCCCTAAATAAAATAAAAACCGAGAGCCGCAGAACTAACTAAAAAATAGTTTCTTTCCTTTTCTTCTTCCCACCACGATTCCAAACAGTAACTAGATTATGCTGATAGTTTTGGAATCAGCTTTAGGGGTGGTTAATACTGGTAGTTAGTTGAAGATGTAGGCGGTTTAGCTGCTTTTAACGTCATCTTAGGTTGACCTGAAACCTGATTCGGGTGCCATTACTTGCCTGACACTTGTTGCATTTATGTGGATAGTTTGAGATCTGCCTTGTGCAAGTTTGCTGCTGAGGATTATTGACCACCGCTGAATGGGAGGGGAAGGACTAGGGTCTAGAGGGCATAGCATGGAAGATAAATAGTACGGGGACTTCCCTGGTGGCGCGGTGGTTGAGAGTCCGCCTGCCGATGCAGGGGACGCGAGTTCGTGCCCCGGTCCGGGAAGATCCCACGTGCCGCGGAGCGCCTGGGCCCGTGAGCCATGGCCGCTGGGCCTGCGCGTCCGGAGCCTGTGCTCCGCAACGGGAGAGGCCACAACAGTGAGAGCCCCGCGTACCGCAAAAAAATTAATAATAATAATAAATAAATAAAAATAAATAGTACGGCATTTAAAGTCAGCGGGAGATAAGAAGTGACAATTGGGCAAAAGTGCTGATGCAGCCGTGCTGGTATTTCGTCACTGGAGCCAACCAGCTAACCTGATCTAACCCGAGGATGAGCGGGGGGAGGGGACAAAATCCGGTTGACCCTGAAGTTACAACCAAACTCTGTTTCCTATGCTAACAGAAAAAAAAGAGATAGACTTCGTCAGCCTCCATTTCAGTCTGCAAAGGAGTTTTGGCTTCACTCGAAGCTGAGGTGCCCCTGAATAAAATATAATCAAATATTAGTTCAGACAGAATCAGGAGAGAAGAAGCAAGTTCTTTTATTCATCCACCAGATTTCCTGGTTTTCTAGGTCATACCCTTGTGAAGAACCTTGCCAAGAGCTATATTATTTTCTTTAAAAAAAAAAAAAAAAAAAAAAAGAGCAACAACAAAATGCCTTTTAACAGCCAGCATGACTTTACCTGCACTGCAATGCTTTTTGTGGTCCATATATTATTGGGGCAGTTGCAACAGAAATTATTCATGAACTGTCTGATTTTTTGAGGTCCGGCTAATTTCCTTCAGTTTGAGGGTCGGTGCTGGCCTGTACCACTACCCTGAGGGGGGAACCCATTTGTCCATGTCTCCCTGGCATTCTAAGAATGCTCATAGCCGTTGTTTCCTGGTTTCCATTGGGTATTTCCACCCTCCTTCCCCACTCCACTGCCATCCGCTCATACAAAAATACTGATAATGATAATGGTCTCTAAAAAGCAGAAGCTCTCATACTATCATCTAAAAAGCAAAGTGAGGAGATATATTTAAATTTTCTCCCCCTTTCCTTCTTCCAATGAGAAAGATTCCCTTCTGTCCCTGTTCTCCAATTGCGAGAGTAGATAGATTTCCAGTTCCAAGCAACAGCCTTCTCCTTGTCTCATTATACTTCTTGAAAGAATGCATTAACTGTTTAGGTAATACTTATAGTCAAGAGCCGATTATAATAAAAATACTATGAGAAAACGTATAGAGTTTTATTATTATTTGTCCACATGTAAGTAACTACTGTTATCTCAGTATTAATTCTTTAGCAAATTTATTTCAAATTCTGAGAGGTCTTTAGGGATGCACAATTCATTTGGAAGACTGTACACATTTTAGATGATCGCATTCTTGCTATATGATTAATGCAACTTATCCAGGAGATCCTTTATGAAATCTTGCTAAATATAAAAGAGCAACTGAAACTCTGGCTAATTAAAACAATAGCAATCACAATTTATTAGCACACTGTAAAAAAACTAATTTTTTAAATGCCAAAGGTATATTACAAAACCTCATACACCTTTTGGAAAGCAAATTGCTATCTTTTTTTCTTTTTCAAATAAATGGGTCAATCTTTTCATTGAGTTTATTCAGTTAAAAAAAGCTGCCTTTGAAAGGGCTTTCAGCATTTTGTTTGTTAGAGGAGTAGAATAGGCCCTGAATCAAAAAACCTTTCTGGATTTGCACCCCAGCTGCGTAAGAAAAATGTGCCTTTCTGTAGTTGGTCACAGGTAGATTTAATCAGTAGCACATTTTACTACTCCAAAGAGAGAACTAAAGCTTCGTTTTCGGACTCACAGTCTCTAGCAAGCTAACCTGGACATACTTGTATATAATAAAAACAATAAAAGAAAAAGGAAACAGGTTTTAAACTTTGGTGATTATGGGGTAAAAGGAAATTTCAGTGATGTGAATTTCCAGCTTAGACTTAGTTGAACCTTTGCCAGTTTTGATAGCTAGAGAAGTTCTCCTGAAAGAAACTATTCCCTGGAATTGAAAAGAATGACTGACATTATTTAGATAATGACAGAGAATTCGAAAGAAAATAAAAGGATGTATTAATAGAAATGCTTGCATTTGCCTGAAGACAAATTACTGCAAACAATTAGAAAGTACTTAGTATTTGGGCGTGAGTCACTATATAGTCATGATCAGTTTAGGGGCATATGCCACATCAAGATTTATTTTCCTTCCTAAGGGCATTATTCCAGCTGTAAATATAACCTGCTATGTCATAATGTTTAAGCTGGATGTGTTTTGCGTATTACTGGTTATTTTGCTACATAGCGTTACAGAGATTTCTGCCTAAGGGCTAGTAAAAATGAAGAGAAGAAATAAATACAGTGTTTAAGGTAAAGAATCAAGGGTCTTTTTTCTTTTTGTTTTCCTACCCTAACATATTGCAATTTTAAATATAATCTAAATAGAAAAGGGGTTAATATGGTTCTTATTGAAAATATGCAGTGACATATTTTCCTGCATGGAGCTTCTGTACTCTAGGAATCCTGAAAAGTTAGGGAGAGTTGAGGTTGTTAAAACGCATACCTGCAAATTCAGGTGAAGAAACCATTCAAGGTGTGACTCATTCGGCATTGACCAGTAGGAGAGGTGATCCTGAAGGTGAATTGACTTGCATTCACATTCTCTTGGATTCCTCATCCTTTCACTGACCTTGAGGATCCCACTGGGTACTATAGAGACAAACTTTGTTTCTAGGTTATATACACATTTTGCTATTTGATTTTGTTTTCTTTATTTCAACTTCTAGCCTGGAAAATACTATTTCTTTTTTTTCTGTAGCGAAATTTATGTCTCAATTTCTGATTTATAGGACTTTCCTCTCAATGCGGATAAAGCCAAAGTGAGGGGTTGTAGAATCTTCCAGGTTGAGAATAGCGTTGCCATAGAAACACTATTAGATGAAAAGTGCCCTGCGGGTCCGCCACTCTAAGAATGGAGTAAGTGGAATTGAATTGGGAATTGAATGCTCTAGAAGAGACAGATGTTGTTTCATTGGTTTTTGCTTTTGGTAACAAGATCTGGTGGAGACATCTTAGTATCAAATCTCTGCCTGCAATTTTGGAAGAACTGCTCTCTAAACATTATGAATTATTGTTAGAATGAAAAAATACTTCTCATTGGTATCCAGATAACCCATTTTGTTGATCAAGGTGAGCGGAAAGTCAAAAGGCAGACACAGAGATGAGGACTAATACAGAGGCACATAGTTAGGTAGCAGATGGAATTTGCTCCTCTCGTACCATTTCTATATCTCCTCCTATCCCTCACCACTATTCTTTGCCAATTTTAACAGTGAATA